GAGGAACCAGAGGGCGACTCTACATCAAACACCCCCATCTCTTTAAGTATGCGGCTGATCCTCAAGACAAGCACTGGCTGGCAGAACAGCAGCACATGAGGGCCACAGGGGGCAAGATGGCGTACCTCCTCATAGAGGAGGATATTCAGGATCTGGCAGCCAGTGATGATTACAGGGGCTCTCTTGATTTGAAGCTGGAGGAACTAAAACCTTTTATCCCACCTGCATGGATGACTGAAAAGATGCAGAAATATATGGAGACACTTCGCCATGAAGGGGACCCACAGCCTCCAGAGGGAACCCATGAAACATAAGAAACCTCACCCTCCCTGCCAAGTGGCGCCCAGTCACAGCCTGTCACAACATGGACTCTCACGGGAGTTTCCCTATCTTTCCTTGCTTTGTGTTTCACTGGACATGTTGGGGCTTGTGCTTTTGTTGGCCCAGGTACCAGAATGCTGCCCACAGGGAACAGCAGTGCAGAGCTGTGATTAAACCTCCTGAGAGTTGTTTGGGCCATTCCCCTTAGTCAATGGTGGCTGGCAGTAAACAAAGTCACTGGCTGCTTCCTGCTTCTCTTCAGAGCTGCACTTTTCTATTTGTGTGAACTTCCTGTTTCAGATCCTCTGTGTACAAACAGATTTGTAAGATATATTACAGGCAGTCTACAGATGTTTACAAGCACAGGTTGTAGAAATCCAGTAGACAGGGATTTCATTTGACAAACACTATTCATACAAACTGGGGTATAGTGCCAGAGTACTGAATTCAGTTGCACCTTTTGCCTTTAGATCAGAAAAATTAGGCTGATCTCTGATTCTGGGTGGGGGATACTCTTCACTTAGCTGTGGCTGAGTGCAGCAAAAACAGGTACAGAATCTGGTCTGGAGCCACAAACGGACTTTTCAGTGGCTAGAAAATCATGAGAACTATAATGCGATCCATAAAGCTTGAGCTAGGTGCCTAAGCTCCCTATACAATGAAGGGAGAGAGACAGTTGCCTTAGAATGTGATCTACAAAAGGGCAACTTCCTGCCTAAGCTAGTCAATAGGAGATGGCAACAACAGGGGGGGTATCTAAGCCCCCTGCCACCTCTCATAGAAATAGGAGCTTATCTGTGTTAGCGATCCACCATCAAGAACCCCTCACTTGGGGGCTTAGATGCCTAAGCTGTTTCTTGTGAGAATGAGTTAGATTGAGTTACGATATTTGAACTTTCAAAAAAGAGGACACTCCATGGTGGGGAGCGGGCAGCCCCGCCCCCATCCACTCCCTCCCACTTCCCGCCCCCTGACTGCCCCCCACAGAACCCACAACCCATCCAACCCCCCCCCTTCTCCTTGTCCCTGATTGCCCCCTCCTGAGACCCCCCGCACCCTAACTGCCCCCCTAGGACTCCACCCCCTACCTGTCCCCTGACTGCCCCGACTCCTATCCACACCCCCGCCCCCGACAGGCCCCCCCCCAGATCCCCCAGCCCATCCAACCCCCCCGTCCCCTGACTGCCCCACCCTGTCCTCACACCCTTGCCCCCTGACAGCCC